GTGAAAGATAGCTGATCTCATTTACAATTTGTTTTTAGAGAGCCACTGCAGATATCTAAGGAGATGAATAATTGACATGATCAAAATGACACTTTAAGAAAATGGTTGCTGCTGATCTAGTCTGGTAGAGGCTTGAGGCAAGGAGGCTAGAGAGGAGATTTTTGAATATCAGTGGCTCCCTGACAGCTTTCTACAAAGCAAAGGGGAAGTACCACAGGGATGATAGCTTGATTTGAGTTAGGGGTGTGCTGCTTACCAAATCTTGCCACATAGGTATAATATAAAAACAACAACAATTATCCAGGATATTTGAGAAGGCATAACTGAAAGTCATTGGTAGACCAGCATTTCTTAAATCAAAAAGAGAGGTAGGGTCCTGATATAGTGGGTGTATGCTGTGTGACCCTGCTTGCCTCAGTTCCTCATCTGTAAAATGAGCTTGAGAAGGAAATGACAAACCACTCCAGATTTTTGCCAAGAAAATCCCAGATGGGGTTATGGAGAGTTAGACACGATTGAAATGACTCAACAACAACATGCTTGGGTTCCAGGCTGGTTGTTTGTTTGCATGGTCAAATACTGGACTTTAATTGTGAGGTCTTTTCTTTTTCATCTCCATAGTCTGTTTTTATTTTATAGCCTTCTTTTGATTACATAAATAACTCCTATTCAAAAATGTTATAAGGATTTCTTCCCACAATTTTATTTACCTAGTTGAGATCTACACCCTCCATATATCTGTGGATGGTTCCACCCCTTCACGACAAACCATTACTGACAATGATAGGTAGTTAATGACTGTCTTCCCTTTTGGGAGTGAAAATTCACTTTATTATGGGACTACCCTTCAGGATGTCGGAGAATTCTAGGTTATGAAGACCAAAGCTCAGAAGAGCTGTGTCTAGTGGTGAGAATGGCCAAGTGAAGGCCATAGAAGCACCAGCCCAGATCTCCTGCCTCCTTTTCATCCTATTTTCCCCTTCCAGTCCTACATGGTTCTACTGAGGGACACCAGAGCTCCAAGGACATTTGGATGGTGATAGAAGACTGCAAGACGAACCATGGAACTTTTTGTTATTGTATAATTGAAGGGATAACAGGTCTAGGGGTTGCAGGAATAATCAATCATTTTAGAATCTCTGATGTAGTCCTTCACTTTCTGGATGTTTTTCAAAGTCATTTTAGTTTTTCAAACTCCCTGCACTTGTAATACACAACTTTCCTTATTGCGTCCTTCCCCTTCCCCAACAGAATGCCATTTTTCTGAGGGTAAGGACTGTTCCATTTGTATCTTTGTATCCCCAGTATTGGGCAGCTAGGTGGCACAGTGGATAGAGTGCTGGTCCTGGAGTCAGGAAGACTTATCTTCCTGAGTTCAAATTTGGCCTCAGATACTTACTAGCTGTGTGACCCTGGGCCTCAGTTTCCTCATCTATAAAATGAACTGGAGAAAGAAATGGCAAACCACTCCAGTATCTTTGCCAAGAATACCCCAAATAGGGTCACAAAGAGACTAACATGACTAAATCAACAAAACAACAACAACAACAAATCTCTACTATACAAAACAGTGTTGGGCACATTGGAAATAAATGTCTAACTGAACTGAATTATTTCTGGTGCTCTTCCATTTTACTGTTGTTTTTTACTATCATTTTCCAAGAATTTTTTTGTGGTCAGAATTACTTTGAATGCAGAAATCATAGCTTAATAACCTCCTCTCCTCCCTAGCAAACAGTGTCTTCTCTAACCCTCAGAGAATAGTGCAAAACTTCTTGATTTCATTGCATCAACATCTTTCTCTAGCCTCCAATGAATTGAACCTTAATTTTTCTTTTAACCAAGACTGCTAACTTCATGATTTATTTTACTCATTTTAATAATATTTTCCTCCACTGAATTCCCACCCAGAGTCATCCTGGTGTAGTGGATAGCAAGCTGGCTTCTGAATCAGAAAGCCCTGGATTTAAATCTGACCTCTTAACACAGACTGACTGGGGTGACTCTGGGCAATTCACTTAAACTCTCAGTGCCCTCCAGGCAACCCTCTCAAACTATAATTTGTAGGGCAGGTAATCTGCATTGGCTTGCTGAATTTCCTCATCAGTAAATATCTCTATCAATGACAGAATAAGGGTAGTCCAAAGTTTCATTCTGATGCCTCATCGTGAAAGCGGCCCTGGGTTCCCCAAGCCTTTGCCAACCAAGTATAAATTCTGCTTGGTCCTACCAACCTGAAAAAGCTCAGCATGGAGACCCCCTGGTGGATTTGCATGTCTGCTACCAGAATCTACCAAACTTATTTCCAAAAAAAAAAGTTCACCACAGGAGGACTGGTCATCAGATAAGGAAGCTTTTCGGCTGGGGAAACTCATGAAGCTATCTCTTTAAGATGTGGAAGGGCTGGGATCAGCATTCCTGAAGGGAATGCTTATATTGATGGAATCGTAGATGTCTTAGAATACTGACCTAGCTAGTGCTCTATCTTTGGGCAAAGACCATCATTTAAATAAATACTAGTTTTCATTCACACAGTTCTGAGTAATGTTTATTAGTCACTTCCTTACCATTTTTTTCCCCCAGATTCATCAAGGGACCTTTATAGATTGCCTAGACAAGTTGTTCCAAGGCATTTTATCACCTTGTCCTACCCCTGACCAAACTGTTCCTTGGACTCCCTAGAAAGAACAGAGAATAAAGCTTTAAAACACACACACACACACACACACACACACACACACACACACACACACACACCCTTGTCCTTTCACTTTTAACTTTGGATGGTTTCTTCTATCTTGAAAAATACTAAACAACTGGGTTCAAATCCTGCACGTGACATAAATGTACACTTGACTGTGTCACCCAAGTCAAGTCATTTCATCTCTCAGGGATCCAGGCAATTCTCTAAGATTAGAGACTATCACTGTAAGAGAAGGTGCTGACCTACATTGATAAAGGAGTTTTCTTATCCTGAAATCCCTATAGGAATGAAATGGGGTAGGGGGGAGAGCACAACCACCAGCTCAGGAGACAAGGTGAGGAGCTGTGCAGCATTTCCAAAGCTTTGTGTGTTTGTGCTGGCACCCTTCCACCCTAGCCAAGGCATCACAGCTTCTCCCTTCTCTTCCCTTTCCTCTTGCTCCCAGTACTTGGTGCAATATTCTTTTCATTATATTACATGACTTCTGACTTTATCATGATCTACAAGGGAAGTTTTTGTGTTGTTGTTCTTCGGGGGGTTTTTCAATTTTCTCTTTTTATTATGAACTTGACAAAAATTAGCAAACATGAATATTTCCTTATATAGAGAACAGAAAAGGACTGTCTATGAAAGTTAGTCTCTATACCTACAGCTTGTTTCTTAAGGTCTGTATCAGATTTAACACCATAATACAAAATACTCTGCTTGTCTATGTCCCCTTCTGACCTTCCTTTTGCTCTATTCTGTGTTTTCAAAAAATTTCACTGATGCCCTTTTCTTTGTTTTCTATCTCTGTCACTATACCTCACTCCCTGCCCACATACACACGCACCTCTCTTTGCATAAAAAATAAAGGCAAGCCCTTGTAACAAATAAGTATAGTCAAACAAAACAAATCCACACATTGGTCATGTCTGAAAATATATGTCTCATTCTGCTCCTGCCATCCATCACCTCACTCCCAAGTGGTGGGAAGGCTGCTTCATCATCAGTCTTATGGAATCATGATTGGTCATTGCATTGATAATCTTCAGGTGGAAAATGAGGTCATGTTTGTCCGTCATTGAAATAAGAAAAGTCAATGGTCGGCCTGCTCTTACATTTATAACAATCATATTGAACAGATATGACAAATATTCGGAGCAAATCCAGGAATAATTTGTCCTGTATTATAAAAAGCCCAAGAACTTTCCAAATAAAGTATGGCAAGATGGTTTTCTTTTTTGTTTTGTTTCATTTTGTTTGTTTTTGTTGTTGTTGTTTTTGAGATTAGATCTCCCTTTCTCGCCTCAGCCACAAGTGCAGATGCCCAGTCCTACTACTTATCAGCATGGAGTGTTGTCCTACTCCATTTCTGACCTGGGCCAGTTCATCCCTGCTTTAGGCAACCCAGTAGCCCCTCACTCTCAGGGGCTCCTTATATTGATGTCAGACTTAGGGTGGACAGCTGATCAGCTTTAGCCCTAATGTAACTCAGAACTCTTGAACTTAACCTATTGAAATAGTCTCCACTTCCCTAGTAGCAGGTCTCATAGGTTTGCATCATCATACCCAGCCAGGATGATTTCTTAAGATTTATTACTGCTATGATGCAATGAAGAATATAAGAGAATGGCTAAGAATATATGTTATGCCTAACCTCACTGGGGATCCTCCATCCAAAATCTGAGCAGCCTGGTTTTCTGTGGCTTGTCTCTATAGAACAGTCAGACAGAGACAGGAATCAATGGCACAGTTTTTACCATTCCTGGGAATTAAGACTTTTCAGTGAATCAGGATAATTATCTTTTATGGTCCTATATCCGATTTACCCAGGAGGCATAACCCAGCATGAGTCTCTCACTATAAAATAATAAAGCCCAGTTCAACCAAAACATTTTTATTACTATAGAGCTCCAGAGTTGGCTCTTCCCCTAAACTGTGCCTCTCCTCCTGGCCCATGCTTTGGTCCAGTGGAAGTCATACAAGAGCTCTGCAATTCACTTATATGAATTAATCAACAAATGTATATTGAGTACCTACTGTATATAAAAGACAGCACTAGATGCTGTGGAAGGTACAATAAAGTAGGAAATATAATCTCAGGCTTCAAGGAGCTTCTGATCTAGTTACAGCAATACTGTATCACAAACAAACAGTTCTCAGAATAATTTTCAATTTAATTTTTTTGGAATGATACCAAAGAACTGGGCCATGTTTTAAAATGCCTTCAGTGGTATTTTGACTTGAATGTACTGAAAGGATATTTTTCATGTTGTTATTTTAATTAATTTCTTTATTTCCCTGTCTCTCACAGATAATTTTCAGGATCAGATGAAAAGAGAACTAGCATATCGAGAAGAAATGGTACAACAGTTACAAATTGTAAGATACATTTCTTTTACTTCAAAAAATATTTGATTTATTTTGGTCTTGACATCTAGATTTCTTCTCTGAAACCTTTTGGTCCACTTTCTTCTCAACTGGTTTGAATGCTAATTACCATGAGATTTACTTAGACACAGGGCAAGCAGATGTGTCAGTATGTTTCATCTAAATGTAACTACTTAACATGTGTCAATAGACAGATGTGTAAATTGTCAGTGTGGGATACAGAGACTTACCTGAATACCTCATAATTTGTATAACACAAACCCTAGGACTTTTCCTACAAATATAATCCTTAGTGTACATATAAATATTGATTAAATTCATATAAAAGATGATGACAAGAAACAAAGGATTTCGGAATGAAACATGTAACTCCATTCTTTACTTTTGATAATCATTCTTATAATTTTATAATACCCAAGACCTATTTGTATAGTAACAGCACTTAGCACAGTGTCTAACACTAGTAGGTGCTTAGTAAATGTTTATTGACTGACTGATAATAAGCAAATGAGAATTATTTTTCTAAAGTCATTACCCTCCCTCTATGAAACTCTTTTCTGATACAGATCTCTTTTTATATGGTATTTTTCAACAATGCTCATAAGACAATTTCCCAAGCTTGTCATCTTTCATCTATAAAATAGGGAAAATACTTCTCTCCCTAAATGTTTGTAAAATATACTGAACTACATGGATAGTATCCTCATGTTTTTAATGTTCAAGGCATGGCAATCATTATAATTTATGTTGCTTGTTATTTTGAGATTTAACATTTGTCCATGTCTTCTTCATATCATAATATGTATGTATATATCTATTTGAATATTAATCTATTAGCCTCCCTATCTATCCATCTTACCAATGTTATCATTGACCCAAGACACTCAGGAACTTCAGCCAGATCTGCACATCTCTAAGTAGATACCTAACTTTTAAACAGGCTCCTTCATCCCTCTACTTTTATTTTTGAATTATGCTTGTTTGTTTATTTTGGTAGCTGTGCCCAAATTCAGCAAAAAGGACTTACTCTTTTTTAGTTGATAACCATTCTTTAGGGAGCTCAAATCAATCTATCTGTGGCATTTTTGCATTTATATACTAGGACATAACAGTTCTAAGCTGATTTCTCACCCAAAATATCCTTGATTGTCTCTTTTAGTCAACCTACTGAGTTATAAATTTATATTGCGGATTTGGGGAAACTTTCAAATTCTCAAGGTTCATCATTTAGTTGTTATTTTCTTGAGAGAGGGAGCGGTTCCTGGGAGTACGAACTTAAAGTTATTGCAAATTCCACCATGCAAAGCACAATTTTTAGAGTCACAAAAGGGGAATTATCACCCAAGTGTAGGTTTGACTACAAGCACAAAAGCATTAAAAGTACATTAAATTAGTAGAATAAAAAGTAGAATCAGAGTTCTCATTGCCACTGACCAAGCTGTCTAATGTCACTTATGTAACTTTAGTGCTTGTCTTCTGCAGCTATTTTTTTTTAATGGAGACAACATATCACCAAGGTTGTAGGGAATTATTATTGTCAGAAGTAAAAAACACAAAGTTCTTTAAAAATCCTGGAATGTGAGTCAAGGTTTTATCACTAAGAATTTGCATTGCACTGTTTTACAAAGAATTCTGTAGAAATGACTTGTCAGTTTTGACAGGTATTATTCATTCAGAATGGTTAGTAAATTGGGGGACTCCTTAGGAGCCAGCAGAATCCCAGTTAGTGCTCTGAATTATAGTTGCAATGCACTGTTACACCCCGAGCCAAATGTGGCAGCATTTTGCAATAGTTCCCACTCCTCCTCAGAGTCCTATCCCTTAATGGAAGGAGGGGCTCACTCCCAAAACCTGAAGGCCTCTTTGGGGGCCCTGTTACTCCTAGGGTGTCCCACGTAGTCCCCTATCTGAACTAGCCTTACTCAAATCGGACTTGATGCTCGGGATCATTGTTATCTCTCTGTCCCCAAATGAGATTTTTCTTGTCCAGGTCTCCTATTTTCTTAGAGTTCTGCCCTCTGCTAGATATCAGGCAACCATGTTTAACATATTAATATGTTAATTAATTATTAAATTATATAATTTTTGAATTATGCTTGTTTATTTTGGCAGCTGTACCCAAATTCAGTAAAAAAGACTTCCTCTTTTTCAATTGATAACCATTTTTTAGAGAGCTCAAAAATTAATTAAATAATAATTAATATTAAAAGTGTTACATGTGCTGCCTCTCTTAGATAACATATGTCCACTTCAATAAAGGCCAATACTTTAAGTGTTTATTAAGCTTATATTATTTGTTATCTTTGAAAGTCAAAAAGGCAGCATTACATGGTAGATAGCAAGCTAGCCTCTGAGTTAGGAGGACCTGAGTTCAAGTCCTGCACCTGACATGTATTGTCTGTGTGACCCTGGCCAAGTCACTTAACCTCTCGATTCTAGAGGCAACCAACTAGCTAAGACTCTCAGTTACAGAAAAACTGGAGATCTGCCTTGGTAAAGGAAACTTATTAAGTAGAGTTTCTTGCACCCATGAAATTGCAGCTGTGTTCCAACGTACAGGACACTATGCTAGAGATGCCAAAAAAAAAAAAAACAGTTCTTGCCCTCAGTAAGTTTACCAACTTCCTGAAAATGCCTTAACTCAGCTAAGTAACCGTGACAAGGAACATTTCAGACGCTGGTGGGAAAGTTATTTTTGGACAACTGGGAAAGTGATGTCACAGCCAGCTACCTAGTCTATCCACTCATAGCTATTGACCAAAGAATTAGGACACCATATGATATCAGCAAACTATTCCTCAAATAAATTATCTGGCCTCTGACCAATTGGCAGGGGGCAATATCCTGTACCTCCCAAAGCACCCAAGGAAAATCCAAGTCATTTTGTGGCTATTAATAAATTATCAGGCTTTAAAGTTACTAGCTTTCATCTTCCTTGAATCATTGCACTCATAAGTGAATATAGTTACCATGAGATTATATCTGCTCTTTGAGGCTAGAATAACTGAGTATAAATCCTCTTACAGTTAGTGAGTACCTTGTTAACTCAGAAAAGAGCCAATTCTTTATACCCTTGAGATGATACAAAAGCATGTGTTAATTCCATAATCACTAGGAATTCAAATACATAAATCCCTCCAAACTCTGCAAAGATTTCTAAGGAAATCTGCATGATATTGTTACACTGTGTTCGTTTTATTCAAAAATCACATCCAGAACATGAACTTTTCATTATTCCATTAGGAAAATGAGAAGTGGTGATCATGATAGTCAAATGAATCATATGTGGTCATGGGAGAGGGAAACCATATACAGAATTAGGTTAATAGTTTTTACCTGTGTTCACTTATGAATTAAAATAACTTACTAGGATCCAAGTTCTAAAATGTACAGATCAAAATAGATGTTGAAAAATATTCTGGAAAAACAATTTTAGATGCTCATAACTTTTATTTCTAAACCAGATTTGCAATGAAACAAAACAAAAGCAAAACAAAATATTTTTCCTGAGGTCTAAATATAGAGACTTGAAAATTAGACCAGTTTTTGGGCAAAGCTTATAGTAATTTTTAAAAGGCTTATTTACCCATTCACAAGTGATGTAATGGAAATTCATTTTACTTTTTAAAAAAATAGTAATTAACACACATTAGAATTGGAAATAAGAGAGGACAAATTGAATCCCAGCCAATAGCCTTTTGACAAAGTTCCTTTAAGGACCTGACCATCCATCCATCCACGTATACGCACACATGAATATATGCACATATACATATATATACACATATATGCATGTATATTGCAAGTATATGTGTATGTACATTGTACAGTTATCCCTTCCATATCACGACTTACTCCATTGTGATTTCAATATATTGCAGGTCAGCATAAAACATTAAATGGGAATTTTTGGAAAGTTTTGCAGAAGCTGCAAATGCATGCAAAGGCCATCAGGCAACACAGAAATGTTTACAAAGTCAGAAATGCATAAAATATAAGTATAGTATTACATAATATTAACCCAAATTTTATAATAAGGTACTGTAAATGCCCCATAAAAAAAAAAATTCAGACTTCTTCTCTGGTATGAAGGGAGGGCCAAAAAATTTTACAAAGATTTTCCAGATGGTGGGGTGCTGCATCCCTAACCCCACAATGTGGAAGGAATAACTGTATATGTGTTTATGTAGATCAGGTGTATATGTGTATATATTTACATACATACATATATGTATATATTGATATACAGATAGACAGATAGATAGATAGATAGATAGATAGATAGATAGATAGATAGATAGATAGATAGATAGATAGATATCTTCTAACAAAAGCTATTAGTCTCTTTTTAGGTATTTGCTTGCTAATTTGGCGACAAGTGTTTAAAGTGTGCCTCTTTGCATTAGCTACTACTTTCGATTTGTTAAGGATATGCTCCTCCTCCAATAAAGTTCTTGAAGGATGCTGTAAAACTGCAATGCGGAGCATATGATAAATGGCTAAACCAAAATACACATTCCTTGAACTTGCAGCATCACTCTAGAGATGCAGGTAGGCTGAGGAAATGGGTTAGTCTCCAAGTGCCCTCTGCTGTTCGGCCAGGTAGCTGCAGTTTCAAGAAGCCAGGAGAAGCACAAGTCTCCAAGTTCTTCATTAAAAGCCTCAATTAAAATAATGTTCAATCAATAGATTTAATTCTGATGTTTCATTCACTGAGGACTTGTAAAAAAGCAGTTTACAACTTCCTGACTGGGGGGAATGGAGCAAGCTCCTCATCCTTGGGAGAAGGGATATGTGTCTTTTCCTGTTGCCATAGGAGCTGGCGCTGGCCACAGCCCAGCTCTCCCACAATAATGCCTTAGCTTGGAGATTCTCCAGCATTAACTGGTGGGAACTGGCCCAGGTTTCTGCCAGTTCAACACAGAGGAGTTTATGTTTGTTTTGTTTTGTTTTGTTTTGTTTTCAAATGGAAGTAGAAGGACTTCTTTTGCACATCTGGACTTGAGACAAAAAGACCTAAATTTAAATTCTGCCCCTGACACTTAGCTGTATGACTTTGGGCAAGTTAAGTGAAGACATGCCTTTTTGCACTTCATCTAGTTAAAAGGTTCTTAGAGAAGACATAATTCTTTAAGTTTCATTTTCAGTCAGAAGGAAACTTACCAAGCAATTGATTTGATAAGTAGCTCCTGACTTCCTTACCCACCCTCCCCACACCCCAAACCACCTGTGATTTTGCTGGCATAGGGAACCCCTAAAGAGGAAACTCCTACCAATGTAGGTCATCAACTATTTGGCTATTTATGATCTTAGAGAACTGACTGGAGCCTTAAGAAATCAGGCCACTTGCCCAGGGTCATACAGCTAGGTTGTGCCAAAGACAAGATCTGAACCTAGGTCTGGAGCAGCTAGGTGTCACAGCAGATATTGTGTAAAACTTGAAGTCAGGAAGATCTGAGCTCAGATTCTACTTCATAAACTTACTAGCTATATGACCCTAGGCAAGTCACTAAACCTCTCTGTGCCTCAGTTTCTTCATCTGTAAAAAAATGGAGATTAATAATAGTACCTACAACATGGGGTTGTTGTGAGGATCAAACAAGTTAACATATGTAAACTTTTTGCAAACCTTAAAGGACAGTATAAGTGCAAGTTTCTGTTATTATTATTGCTCTTATTAATACTATTAGTATTAGCATTATTTATGTATTATCCATTATTATTAACATTACTATTATTATTACTACTATTTATCATCATCATTATTACTACTCCTGTTCATCATGATCATTATCACGATCATGATGATCATCTTCTCCTCCTTGTCTTCTTTATTCTGAGGCAAGCTCTCTCTCTATGATGCTCTCTAGCTCTGGATTTCTAAGACAACTGCTCTAAGTGAGACTCTGGCAGAAAGTAAGCTTGCAATATACTACGTCTTTTTCCATTGATTTTTCCTCCTAATTAGCATACATCTAACAGTTAATCCATGAATACTTAATTACAGAGGCCGTTCTTTGTCCTCTTTCTCCCTTCATGAAATTGGACCAAACTCAGAGTATTGAAATAGGACAATTCTTTTGGTAAAGAATCTGCTGAGAAAGTGTTCATCTTCACTATTATACCCCCAAACCTCACACTTTTGATCCACCTAGACATGTTGGGGTGTTTGGAAATTCTAAGACAGGATGTTATTCAGGTTATCTTTTTTCTCCCCAATCTTGGGGATTTGGAGCATTTACATAACGAAAAGGGAAATTTCCCAGTGACCACAGATTTCTCTGCAATGACTGGCTTACAGCAAACCTCCAGGATCCCGATCAGTCTAAGTAGGACCTTCCATGTTTAGCATACACCTGGATTTTTATGACCTGAATAGCCTCAGTGAACCATAGCATCTCAGGATCATGATGTGTTCCTGGTTTGTCATTTGTGACATTGGAATGATGAATCAGTGTGCATCACAACTCTCAATTCGTGGTTACTTAAAAACAGCAGAACAATGAAACCCACAGCAGGCTGAATAGGGGCAACCATGACTGCAGACATCGGTTCTATTCCTGGATTCCTTAAGAGCCAGTATGCTTACTCTCTACAGCTCTTTCCTTTAAAAAAAATTGTCTTTCTTTCTTCCTGCTTGTCCTTCCATCTTTGTGAAATAGTTTATTGCTGCTCTTGAAAAGATGTCCCTATCTGGATCCAAAATCATTGGTCTTTGAAGACACTTTCCTGTGATTGAAGATGACTTCTTGACCTTGGGTGCAGAAATAGGAAGCTAAGTCCTTGAAAGAGGGGCTTTTTTGTAAGGATATAGGTAGCAAAAATACTGAAATCAAAGCTATACTTTTTTTTAGTATATTTTCAAACTCAAAATTTTGTGTTCTTTCTGTCTCCTATAGTATCTTGTAATATGTGTATCAAATCCCACTTAAAGTCATATTAAATCACACATCAAAAAAAAAGGAGAAATGACCCCTAGGCTTTAGGAAATTATAATACATGATGACTGGAATTGAGATTCAAAACCTTCTCTATCCATGTCTGGGATGGATGAAGTAACTATGGTAGAGAAGTGTTAAGGTACTCTTTCTATATTATAGTTCCTCTATCAAGATTATCCCCTGAAGTATAAGATCAGAACAATATACTTTTATACATTAAAATATGAATAATTAATGACAGTACCATTTATCCCCTCTGCTAGATACATGCTTCCATAGCCAGAGATACCTGCACCCACATATCTGTGATTTGGGTTGTGTATGCATGAGTATAAAGCACCTGGTCAGTTGAGTCAAAATTTCAGAAGGGCAGCCTTCTCTTTTCTCAACCCCATGACAAAGAGTAGTTTTATTTACTTTCAATTATCACTGAGATGAAATCATTGATAAAATTGACTGATTGTTTCCATCAAAATTTGCTCACAGGTGATTGCTTATGAGTGTAGACACAGTCTCATCTCCAAACATCACTGATGTCTTGTTGGTCCCATCTAACTAGGGATCTTATTCATCTCCTTATGGAATGACAGGCCTGGCCATGATTATGTTTCCTTTACACACTGTTTGAGATATGGAAGAAAGGTTTCACGAGCAGGCAAAACATGTGTACAGATCTGTAATTCCATCAAATAATTTTCCTTTTTTCTTCTTTCTCCACTATGTCAGCTACCTTCCCTTTCCCCTTCCACTTTTGGCTCCTCAATAGAATCTAAGCCCCTTGGAAGCAGTCACTATCTTTCTTTTTGCTTGTATTTGTATCGCCAGCACTTAGCACAGCGCCTAGCACACAGTAAGTGCTTAAAAAATCATTGCTGACTTGACTTTTCTTTCCTGCTTATACATGCCAGGCAAATTTCACATTACGTGCTGGAGAGAATAAATCACAATATGAGCTGAAAGGTGACTCTAAATCCTTTAGTGAATTGCCATGTGTTGTCTACAGGGGACAACTTACTACACAATTGGATTTTGGCATTGACATACTTAAAAAAAAGTAATGATACATGAACACATCCTTTAAATTCTTTTTGTATAATAAGCTAGAAAGTTAAATTGAGCCTCTGAGGATAAAAATAGTGATCATAGTGAAAGATGCCTTAGCTGCAAATAGATTAGAAAGACAAATTTAAATACTCTAAATTATCCAAGAGTGTTTCAGTTTTAGTGACTTGAATTTCCACTGCATAAATCAAAATGGCAAGCAAGGTTTGGCCTCCATTCAAAGTCTCTGTACTTTTTTTTATACAGAGGTTATGTTTTCAAGTGTAATTTTTCAATAAATGCTACTAGTTCTTTGTTATTTTTAAAATGCCTATATGTTGTACTTAACATGTTGTGATTTAGTACTACTTGTGATTTCCACTTATGCCACATTCCAGTTTATGAATCTGTATCCTAGGCACATTCTCGTCCTTTGACTGGGGTGATCTCTTAACTTTCCCATGACTCAGTTTTCTTATCTAGAGAGAGTAAATAATAGTGTTGACAGAAAGGACACTCTAAGTCCTATAGTGATTTGACATATTGTCTACACTGGCCAACTTCCAATGTCTGCACTAATGGAGTTTCAGCTTTGAGGTCCTTTTTTTAAAAAAAATCAGTGATATTTAAACAAACACATTTGAAAGCTCACTTACTCCAGAATAATTGAAGATCTTTCCATTTTAACAAAGCCCTTTCCATTGTAAAATATCACCCTTGGGAAGGATCTGTTTGCATTAAGATTGTCTGAAGTTTACCAAGAGCTTTACATTAGGTACCTTGTCATCCTCCATAGCTGCTCTGAGTGGTTTTCCTTGTGTTTCTTTTACAGATCCCCTATGCAGCCAGCTTGATTAGGAAAGAGAAGCTTGGTACACATCTCAGCAAGAGCTAAAAGGTGAGACAGCCAGAAAGAGAGATTCTTTTGGAAATCTGATCTATCAGTGATTGAAATTGCTCCTTGTTGATGCATTACTAGGTCAAGGGCAAGGAAAAAGCTCCATCTGTATTTTTAAAGAAATGTCTTGATGGACTCCAGAATGTTTTGAGGCCTCCACTATGTAGTACATGCTGAAATTAAAGTCTGGCACCAGCCATGTGCCTCTTCTGATTTTGACAGTAGGGTACTAAAAATAAGGGAGTTACCTTTTCAGTCTGCAAAACAGATCCCTATTCTTCTTTAATGGTGTGGTAGGGCTTTATGCCAGCCCCCCCCCCCGAGCTGATTTCCTGGGTAGGTATATAATGTTTATCAAATAAATGCACAAAGGCAGCATGGCAGCATATATGGAGAGCCCACCCCTTAGACAGGAAAATCTGGGTTAAAGTCCCACTTGTGATACATACTGACTATGTGAACCTGCAAGTCACTTAACTTCTCAACACCTCAGGCAATTCTCTAAGACTGTTGGTGGCAAAGAAAATTCTAACCTACATTGGTAGAAGAGGGTTTTCCCACTAGAAATTCCCTGCACCAAGGAAATCACAGGTTGAAATACAAGTGCCAGGAACTAAGACCAACTCTTTGCACCAAGGAAATCACACGTTGAAATACAAGTGCCAGGAACTAAGACCAACTCTTTACTCCAAGCAAATCTCTACTGCACCCAGGGTTGTGCCACATTCCAATGAGTTGCTGAGAAAAAGACAATCTGGGTCTTTTGTGGTGTCAATGATCGATTCCTGCTGTAGCCCCTGATACCTCTCTCTACCAAGGAAAAATAACAATACAACACACTTAAGACACATCCCCTCTTTAGTCTACAAGACGTAATAACTCACAAATTTATCTCCCGTCAGCAAAATTTTATCCCCAGCACATATATGTCCTTTGCAATAAGGAATAACAGAGACTATACTCCCAATCACAAACAGTAGCTATCTGGGCTCCCTCTAAATTGGGCCCAAGGCTACACTTGATTGACTCTACCTCCCTAGCTGTCCTGGAAAAGACAATGACTTCTCAACATTATGGGTATCTTAAGGCACAAAAAAATCCCTGAATTACTAGATGTAAGATGCTTCTAAGAAAAGATGTAGGCATTTATTGGTTTGTGCGAAGATAGAGGTATATATCTAAGGACAGGCCTAGAGAAAATGCAGGGAATATGATGCACACCCCTTCCTTCTGAGAGAATACATTAGGATGACCCAGGCACACTGACTTGTGGAATTGTTAAAACTAAGAAAAAACTCAGACCTTAGAAAGAGTAGGTACTGAATTAAGCCTTATGAGACTAAAAATAGAAATCATAGTGACACATAGCTTAGCTGAAAATAGCTTAAACAGGTGAATTTAAATGTTCTAAATGGTCTAAAAGCAGCTCAGTTTGATTTTCACACCATAAATAAAACAAGATGGCTGGGCTTCCATTCAAAGCCTCAGTATTTGGAAATACTTTCCTATTAATACTAGTAACCAGGTGGAATTGCTCTTTGGATCTGAGGGCTTCCTTTTCTCACAGTTTGGTTCATTACCATTTGAATAACACTGCTCATTACTTTTCTTGCGAAAATATTTAAGAGTTCAATAGGATTCATTGTAGAGAAGTATTTCGCTATTCCAAATTTTTATGGAATCACAGAATTTGAATTGAAAGTGATCTCAGAGGTCCTCCAGGTAAATGTGGACAAGAACTGAAATCATCTAGACGGCTTCCCCAACAATTGGCCAGCCAGCTTCTCTTTGAAGATGTCTAATGATAGAACGCCCATCACTTCTCAAAGTAACCCACTCCCCTTTTAGAGAACTCCAAATGTTAAGCAATTGTTCCTTATAATAAGTTAAAATAAAACCTGCATTCTCTCTACAACTCTCATCCATTGCTCTAGGTTTGTTTCTGAGACCCAAGCCAAACCAATCAAATCCCCCCTCTTCCCTCTCTCCCTCAATTCCTCAAATACTTAGAGATAGTCATTATATTATTCTCTGCCTTCTTCCCCCATCCCTCCACCCTCACCCCCCACCCCCCCACACACAAGCATACACAAGGATTCTCTCCTTCAGACTAAATACTCCTTCAACTAATGCTTAAATGGCATGATTTCAAGTCCCCTTACTATCAATCAAGCACTACATATGTGCCAGACATGGTTCTGGGAACTGAGGATACAAAGACAAAAAAATGAAACAACCCTTCATCTCAGGGAGCTGGCAATCCATCAGGAAAGAAAACATGCATGCCTACAAATGTATGTAGAGGAAACATGGCAGAATGGATAGAAAAACCATCTATCCTCAAAGCCAGAAAGTATTAGGTTCAAGTCCCATATCTGACAAATATTGGCTGTATGACCCTGGGCAAGTCATTTAACCCCTCTTTGCTCTAGGACAAAGGTTATCAAATATGTGGCCATGACACTCCCAAGTGTGGCCCAAACCAAATTAAAAGGTAATCTGGAAATATTCAACAGGATAAAAATACAATAAAACATAGCTAACATTACATTTTAAAACTAAGTCAATATGTGGTCAATACGGACCTTTATGTATGGAATTAGTGACCCCTATTCCTATTTGAATTTGACAACTGATCTAGGCAACTCCCTTAACTTATAAGTTGCAGAGAGGGTGACATCCTACACTGTAAGGGTTTACTCACCTAGGAGTTCTCTATATCAATGGAATCACGACTCCAGTCTTTATCCTTATATAAGTATATAAAGAAAAAAAATATATGCAGAATAAATATAAAGCAAATATAAAGTAGTTAGTAAAAGAGCACTATCAGGGGATCAGAAAAGGCATTATGTAGAAGGTGGAATTTGAGCTATGTTTTAAAAGAAACCAATGAATCTAAATGGAGTGAGTGCATTGCAGGCCAAGACATGGAAACAGAAAATGGAGCGCCTTGTGTGAACAACAGAGAGAAGGTCAGTGTGTCTGAACTACAGAGTACAAGAAGGAGAATAATGTAAAATTGGGCTAGAACAATAAACTAAGGCCAAGTTGTGAAGGTCTTTAAAAGCCAGAGGAGTTTACATTTTATCCTAGTGGCAACAGGGAATTCCTGGAGTTTATTGAGTAATATGGTTAGATACGTTCTTAAGGAAACTAATTTTGGAAGCTGTGTTGAGGATGGATTGGAGTGGAAAGAAATTGGAGACTGAGAAACCAATTAGAAAGTCATTACAACTGTCCTCTCAGTGCCTCAGCTTCCCCATCTATAGAATGGGGACAATAATAGTACCTGTCTCACAGGGTTGTAAAATGGAGGAGGTTGGACTGGAACAGGGGTTCTTAATTTCTTTGTGCAATGGACTCCTTGACACTCCAGGGAGACAACTCAGGGATTGGAGAAAGCTTTCCACAGAATGTATCATTCATTCTATTTGTATTTCCTTGTAGCCATCCATTTATGGTTCATGAGACTTGTTCTATTCTATATTTTCAAGTAGTATTCCTTAATCTGACTTCAGGAAATTTCTTCTTCATTACCACAGACCAGGCTTTCACTAACAAAGCTAAATGGATGATTAAGGCAATTACTGGACAATTACTAGATCAATCCAAGAAAAAAGAGGAGTCAATGTAATAAGGTAGAAAGAACATTGATTCTGAAGTCAGAGGACCTGGGCTCAGATTCTCTTTCTAATACTTTCTAATACTTGCCATGACCTTGGGAAAATTCATTTAACCTCCCTGGGCCTCAGTTTCCATATCTGTAAAATGAAGAGGTTAGACTAGATGACCTCTGAGATCTCTTCCAACTCTAGAACTACTATGAAATATTGACCCAAAATATCAGTAATGGAAAAAGCATTGGCCTGGGAGTCAGGAGTCCTGGGATTAAATCCCAGCTCTGTGATTTGCTGGCTGGCTATGGGACCATACTTAGAGATGATACTAGGACCTTAGACACCATCTAATTTAGGTTCAGTGGTTTTTAACTCCACGTGGATTCATGGATAATTAGTTTCCTATATAATTCTAAGTACTTTATTTTATTCATTTAAAAACATCCTGAGAAGGGGTTCATAAGTCTCACTAGAGTGTCAAGTGTTCCATTACACAAAAAAAATGAAGAATCCTTGTTCTAGTCCAACCACCTCCATTTTACAGATGAAGAAAACTTGAGGTTAAGTAACTAGCCCAAGGTCACACATTTAGTACAGTCAGGTGCTGTGCCTGCAAATCCAGGCTCTTTCCACTATCCTACTGACTATTTCTTCATTTGTAAAATGAGGGGGGTTGCCCAGATGGCCTCTAAGGTCCCTCTCTGATGCAAAATAATTTAGCTGAATTTCCATAATCCTAGCCTAGTGATTTTATTTTTTTCAAATCAAGGAAAAAAGATATCAACAATAATAGCTAGCATCTATATTATGTTCTAAGGTTTATAAATAACACATGTTATTTCATTCAACCCTCACATATGAGGTAGGTGCTATTATTATGCCCATTTTACAGATGAGGAAACTAAAGCTGAGACAAGTGACTTCCCTTAGGGTCACTTGTCTAGTACGCATCTGAAGCCAGAATGAAACTCAGGTCTTCCTTGAAATCCAACTCTCTATTGCAACAGCTAGCTGCCAGTAAAATGTAGTTTTGATGGCTGTTTAACCATATTTAGAGACTATGTTTGAATCCTTCCTCAATCTTGTATTCTGCCTTCCTTTCTTGAACAAGAATTGGTTTGTTCCTTTGTTTTTCTCAGCAACATATTCCATTTCTAGAAACCACCAACACTGAGAACATATGCCACCCATTACTGCTGGTGACATATTGTGGGTATATGCATACATATATGTATGCATATGTGTGCATGTATGCGTGTGTATGCGTGTGTAAAAACTATTCATGCTGCTTAGTAACTGATACTTTCCTCATGATTTTGTTTCTTCAACACACCATCCTTGCAGACAACAGGGATTTCTCTAAGTAGACCCTTGTGCTTTCAGAAGATTAGTGGTTACTTAAATGCTAAGCTAAATCAGCCAAGCAGAGAATCACAACCATATTGTTAGAGGCAGTCTTGGATTCTCAATGTGCCAAGCTTGAGAGGAGTAGCTTCAAGAGGAATTACAAAATAAAAAATCATTATACCCCAGGAGAGGGAGAGATTTGGTCTTGTTCAGTGACCACAAGTCACCAAATTAGTGCTGATACATTAAAAGTCTAATGCAAGGATGAACTTTAAGCTGGCACGCTGCTTTGACATCCACTAGATTCCTCTATGGCTATTAAGAGGAAGAATCTTTTCCAAACCACAGGCAACCCATTGAATAAACTGTTGAGTTTTGCTACATAGTCCTTTTCTACAAACCCTTTTGGCCTTGCACATGGACCTAAGAGTCAAGAAAATGGTATATCCAAATCAGGTCCTAAAAGCATGACCATCTGGAAGACCAGAATAGTTCTTAGCTATGATGTAAAAAACTGCAAAAAGTAAAGGTGTAAAACCTGAAAATCTTTAACTTCCTTTTGATCAGCACCACGCATATTGCCATATTGCCTGGCAAATAGTAGGGCACTTAATAAATGTTTATTATCTGATCTGTTCTTGAATTTATCTAAGCATCACTTGAAATAACAACAAATGAATGAATGAAAAGCCCTTATTGAGCACTGCTGTATGCCAAGCATGGTGCTAAACAAGGGAATACAAATACAAAAAGGGGGTATCCTTGCCCTCAAGAAACCTGCAATCTAATAGAAGACAACATAACGAGGGGAATGGTGGCCAGGGCAGGGTCTGGCATTTGGTTTGGAAAATCACAGGCATTGTGAGTCTCAACATTCCACAGACAGAATCAACTCCAATTATATATTGTTGTTCAGTCATTTCAGTCATGTCTGACTCTGCATGACCCCATTTGGGGTTTTCTTGGTAAAGATGCTAGAGTGGTTTACCATTTCCTTCTCCAGCTCATTTTACAGATGAGGATATTGAGGCAAATAGGGTTAAGTGACTTACCCGGGATCACACAGCTAATAAGTGTCTGAGAATGGATTTGAACTCAGGAAAAGAGTCTTCCTGACTCCAGGCCCAGTGCTCTATCGGCTGAGTCACCTAGCTGCCCTCTCAGGCCAGGATGTCTGGCTGGAAGCATGATCAGTTAGTATGGAGCCTGGAACTGGCTAGATATAGTAGGTAATGTCAGTTTTCTGTGCACTGACTCATCAGTCAGGTCACCTAAGCCTCAAGGTAAGAATTGTAAAACTGAGTGAATTAAGTCCTTCAAGGCACGGTCTCTTCCCTCAGTTGGGTTAAATATATTTAATCTATCAGTTGGGTAAAATAAGACTTCATTTTATTTATCTTAAAATTACCTCCTAAAACAAGCCTTGAGACTTGACATTGTATTACTTTTTCGTTTATGATTTGTAGTCAAGTTGTGCTTTGTGAGTGGAATGGGTAGCTCAGGGGAAATGGCTTAAGGAAGACTTGGCTACCTCTTTTCAAGAACATGTCATGATACTGTGTGTGAATGCCACTTTGTCTATGAAGCCAGTGTCTATTCTAAAGCTATTTAAAATACTCATCCTCCCTCTCTGTTATATTTCCTATGACCTAGTTCTTCAAGCAATAATTCCACAAACCCTGCAGAATGCCCCAAAATAAATTCTGTTACATTAACTATCTGTCAGTCAGTCAACAAATATTTATTAGGTGATGATTGTGTCATAGGCACTGGGGGAACAAAAAAAGGCCAAAAAAAATACTATCCCTGCCTTCAAGGAGCATATATTCTATTGGTGGAGACATGTAAATAATTGGGTAATACAAGATATTTATGAAGCGGGTATTATAATTAAACAATCTCTAACTGATTTTCTTCTAAGCACCTTAAAATTCCATACAAATATTATTGAGGTAAATCCTATAAGACCCTTAAGATAGGAGTTAGTTGTTTTACATGTGGAGAAATTGAGTCTTGGAAAGAATAACGACTTGTCCAAAATCATTTAGAACGTCTTTGACAAATCTGAAAAGTAAGATGATTAGGGGCAGCTAGGTGGCGCAGTGGATAGAACACCAGCCCTGAAGTCAGGAGGACCTGAATTCAAATGTGGCCTCAGACCAAACACTTGACACTTACTAGCTGTGTGACCCTGGGCAAGTCACTTAACCCCAATTGCCTAAAAAATAAAAAAATAAAAGTAGTAAGACTATTCATGGAACCTAGTGAGAGCCTGACTCCCCCTTCAGTGTTGAATCTTCTGCCACATTAGCTTAGCTTTATTGAAGATAAGTAGAGATCATGTTCTATACCTCAGAGCAGGGTCAACCTGATTTTGCTTTGTTGGCACAGAATCCAGAATTGAAAAGAACCTCAGAGATCATCTAGTCAAACTCATAGCTGAACAAGACTCCCCTCTGCAACATGCATGACAAGTGGCCACCCAGCTTTTTACGCCAGTAAAGGGGAACTGACTACTTTTCAAAGCAGCCCATCTACTCTGGAGGACCTCTAATTTTTAAGAAGTTTTTCCTAAAATCAAATTTAAATATACTTTTCTGAAATTTGTACCCATTGTTCCTAAATCCCACCTCTGATCCCTATCACCTGTTGGTAATTAAACAAGTTGTTTAATCCACATGAGCCTCAGTTTCCTTATATGTAAAACAAAGGGATTAAGTTAAATGGTTTCTGAAATCCCTTCCCACTCTAAATCCATGACCCTAAGTCTATTTCCCCTTCTAAATGACAGACTTCCAAATATTTGCAAAGACAACTGTGTCATATTCCACCCCTCAGTCTCCTGCAAGCTATACATCCCTATTCTTACATGGTACGATCTTAAGTCCCATCACCATTCTGGCTACTCTCAAGTGGAGAACTTATCGTTGTCCTTTATAAAGTGTGGCACTCAGAAATGAATCCAGCACTCCAGATGTGGTATGACCGAGACAGAATAGAATGGAATCATAAACTTCCTAGATCTGGACCCTACACCACTCTAAAGGAAGCCTAAGATTACATTAGCCTTAACTCATATTGAGCTTACAATCCACAGAAATCCCTAAGTTAAATTCATTAACCTGGCTTTCCTCGCCAGAAAGTGTGGCAAATTGACTTTTCTCATTCATGATCAGATGAATCATCTTCTTTAAGAGCTGTTGTTTTTGGTTTTGGTTTTGGGTTTTTTTTTTAAACCTCATTTCTAGACTAATTATTACAAACACAATAACAAGGTTTTAGAGTTCCTGAGTCTCAAAGGGAGATAAGAATAGTCTAAATTAAAGGCTGCTCTTTGAATGAGGTACAAATATTCTAGGATTTTTGTTTGGGCTCTGCACAGTTTAATTGAATAGTGATCTTATTTCTAAGGGTTTATTGTCAAACTTGCCTGAAATGAGAGTCCAACTTCATGTGCCTTATATAACCTGATCTTAAAAAAATTTAATTCATTATTGAACTGATGACTTTTATTCAGACTCAAAACCTAATCTAACACTTCTATAGCTATGTAGGACAATGAGCAAGAAAAATAAGCAGAATTTGGCCAATTCAACCACAGAATCAGACATGAAGCCATGACATTTTGAGATCTTGGTGACCACAGGTCATCTCTGTTCTGAGAAAATAAACAAACAGAAATGGTGCTTCCAGGGTCAGTTTTGGTCTGGGTTACTATTGGCAGATAACAAATGACATTCATGTAGCACTGGTAGTTATTTCATTTGATTCTCATAATAACCTTGGTGGTAGATACAATATGGGACACATTCACTCCCAGGCCCCTTGCAAGTTAGGCTAATTTTTCCTTGAAAGGTATTATAATCATCCTTGAGTCTTGTTTGGCTCAGGGAACTTAAAAGCGAGGTTGTTGACAATACTACATGGTCACCTGCATATAAAACAGCCAAGAGGAGTTTCAGTTGCGCTCTTTGATTCTTGGTAGCTTGGGTAAAGAAGCTTTGTTTGGCTGAATCAATTTGAGGTGTCCTCAATTCTTATTGACTATCCTTCTCATGCTCAGTAGATCTCCTTTTGTTAATTGTTGAAATAACCTGTAAATGTCTCATTTTGTTCCAATATCAAACCTCTCAGGGGATAAGTCCTGAGGATCCAAAAGGTTAAGTTACCTGCCTGTGGTCACATAGCTGGTGTCAGAAGTGGGATTTGAACCTAGACCTTCCTGATTCCAGGTCCAGCATTCTTTCTACTACTCCACACTGGCTCTACACATTCATTCTTAATATGTACAACCTACGAAAGTGCATAATGGTCTATGAAACATGTTCCATTCAATAAACATTTATTAAGATGCCTCCTGTGGACAGAGCTCTGCACTTGGAATTGCTTCTTTACTTTCTCGTTTTTATATTCTGGAAAGCAACAATGCTACAAATGTTTTCTCTTAAATGTATACTGATTAGAATTTCATATAGAGAAAGTTCAGCTTTCATCAATGATAGGAGGTTTTTTTTAATTAATTCTTTTTTTATTACAGGAACATAGGAGCACCTGCAACCGTTCTCTTGTATGATACAACCTACCACTGAGCAACCTGACTTGTACACAGACTGAGAATTGAAAGGGCTTGGGAATAAAATACATAATCAGGTTCACATGAACCCAAGGACAAGTGACCTCAAAGCATCATGGACAACCATGTAAAATAGAATGTAGCAGCCATTTATTAGGCGGGGGGAGGGAGGGGAAAACAAACAAGATCAGTAAATGCTTGTCACAGATCTTTTGGTGGAACCAAAGTTTGAGTCTTGGTGTTTCTAGAAGGAGGACTGAACTTCATAGAGTATGGAAAATGCTTTTAACCAATTGTGTGGATAATCCATGGAGGCAATCCCTGGTCCTTTCAATGCTGCAAACAAGGAGAGCATCTACAAAATTGTCTTTTACTTTTGAATAAGTGATTCTTGAAAGTAAAGAAAACACAAGACTTGTCCTAGGGGGTGAGAATCATATTTTGGACAGATGGGAAGGCATCAGCAAAATGTATTGCTTTCAATAGCAAAGTGGATATTCTATCAATTGGCCCCTTCTCCTCTGGTACTTTGCCTGCTGTATGAATTAAGATTGTATTCCTCTGGAAATATTTTACAATTTAATATTGAGTGTAATTAAGAATATAATCACTGTTATCAAAAATGGTATTTAATGCTGTTGTAGTTTCTTTAACATTCATGTGGATAAAAAGTCTATAATAAAAAGCTATGAAGTAATAGTTGTGTTCATGTAGTTAAATGTACATTTTCTTGGGAGAAGAGCTAATACAGACAACTGGGAAGCTTTTAGAAGTATTTTGGCATAAATATTTGAATAAATTATTTTTGAAAACTGAACTCCTTCAAAAATGATTATTAAGAGCTAGGCTGATAGCCATGAATATTATCAGTTGGTCTCAGCCTTCCAGATCTCACTCAGGGACCTAGTATGGGAAAGGAAACCCTGCTAGATCCTCTGAGATTGTCAGTGACCAAAAAACATCGCCTTTTCCTCTGAGGCAGTGAATAAGCCAATGCCCAGTGGGTGTCCTACTCCCCAAAGAGCAATCTTTCAGGTGAACCAGGGTATAACCAAGACTTTAACCACATGGGACAGAGATTACTTTAGATAATGCAGGGCTCCAGAAACTATCCTTTTAGCAGCTTTTTTGCTGGGGAAAGACTACTGGATTTGGAGTAGGCGGACCTGGGTTCAAATCCTGCCTGTGCCACTTATTACCTGTGTAACTGTGAGCAAATCACTTAAACTTTGAGACTCCACTTCTTTATCTGTAAAATGAGGCAGTTGAACTAGACTTTAGGTCCCTTCTACTTCTAAATGAATGAGACTGTGATCTTTCCCTTGGCAGGTAACAGACAGCTATAATTCTGGAGTCATCAACATCATCTCCCTATCTTTTCCTTTTTATAAAAATGCATTTCATTTATGTTTTTTGTCTTTATATAACTATCTTTTCCCACTTCATCCCCATATTGAACTCGCCTTTGTGTGAAAGGAACATAATTAAGCAAAAACATCTGATACATAAACCCTGTCTGACAATGTATGTAACATTCCATCCTAGCAATCACTTACCTCTCTCTGCCATGACGGAGGAGTTGTGTTCCTTTATCTCTTCTCCAGGATCTGCACATCACTCAAAGTTCAACTTGTCTTCAGTGATCTCTCCATTGACACTACTGTAGTCATTGTGCATATCATTTGTTTCTGTTCATTTCATTTTATATCAGTTCATGTAAGTCTTCCTGCATGCCTCTGAATTCCTCATAGCTACAATTTATTGCTGCATAATTATATTCCATTGTATTCATATGCACTGTAGCTTTTCTAGTCATTTCCTAATCAATGGGAAACCACTTTGTTTCCCATTTTTTGCTACCAAAAAGAGTGGTACAATGAATATTTTGATATATATCATTTCTTATTTTGTTTTTTTTTAACCTTCTTTGGTGAATATCCCCAATAGTAGGAGTTCTGGATTAAAAGTATGGATAATTTCATCACTTTTATTGCATAATTCCTACCAAGAGCACATAAATGTGCCTATCCTACCACAGCCCCTCCATCACTGACTGTTCTTGTCTTTTTCTCATCTTTGCTAATTTATATGGAGTGAGGTAAAGTTGTTTTAATTTGCATTGCTCTTTGCTATCAGTGATTTAGATCATATTTTAATATGGCATGGTCACTTATAGCTTGCAAATCTTTTGAAAACTATCCATATCCTTTGACCATTTCTCTCTCAGAGAATGTCTCTTGGTGTTATTCTCCCTGTCTCTTCTCACTGTTCTTTATTCCTTTGTTCCTTCATTCAAATTTCTTTATTTTGCAGATGTGTTTCCACTCAACTTATTTTCATAAAATTAAGCCAATTGCAGATGTGAGGATCATGCTTCCAGTGAGCAATACAGGCCACAAAAGCCACATGCTGCTGTTCTCTCCTTAGATGAACCTTGTCAGTTTCACCTCCTCCCATCATCACTTTGATGCTTTTCCCCACAAGTTCTTACAAACAGTCTGATGAAACCTGGTAGAATTCCTTTGAAATAAGGATTCTTGTGCCATTTTAGTCACTTGGAGGCCAAAGTAGGGATGCTTGTTAACACGGACCTTCTCCAAAGTGGGAAGAGAAACACTGTCAGATATGTATTTGAGTCAGGGTCTGGGATGGTTATCTCCAGTACCACCAGTAAAAATTCATGTGCAGCCTTTCATAGATGAAGGTGATGCTACTGATCCTTAGTTATTGCGTTGTATGCTTTCAGCTATATTTCCTATAATCCAGTAAGGTTTATGTTGAGCTACCTATGGCAAATGGGTAAGCAATTACTTAGATGCATCTAGTACCTCCTTGTGGCCCATAGAAAGAATTCTCAAAACTGCTGGCATAGGTTAGGGTAAAACTGAGTTTTCCTTCCATGTAAAATCATATGCTTCATACAGCAATTGGGCCCTAAGCTCTTTAAACACCAAACTCTAGGAGAATGTTGTCAGAAGATACAATTATCTGGGCAAACAACTAAAAAAAGAGACAGGACAAAATAGTGGCTAACATGCTGAACTTGGAGCCAAAGGGGTCCACCTATGACACTAGCTCTGTATGTGCAAGGACAAATCACCTAACCTCCCTAAACCTCAGACAACTCCTAAGACTCTGAAATATAGAACAGTTGCAATCTATGTTAATGGAGGGAATTTCCACACTGAAGAATTCATAGGTCTTTGACATATTGACCAATTCAAAATCTTTATTATTTATTTGATTACTATAGTCCTATCTTGGGCAACTGAGAGTAGGGTGGTACAGTGGGAAGAGCACTGGACCTGGAAAGGACCTGAGATCACATCCTAATTTCATTACTCACTGCCTGTGTGACCATGAGCAAGTCACTCCCTTTCTCTGAGTCTCAACCTCCTCATCTATAAAATGCGGGAAAAAACCTCTCCAGTCTCTTCCAGCTCTAAATCTCTCATCTATGACAAAAAGCTGTAGCTTTGTGACCAGCCACCAGAGGACAGCAAAACTCATTTTCCTAAGAACCAACTGTTAACTCAGAGGACCAATTATCAGTCTTTTCAGAACAAGAACTGCAGGGATTGAAAAAATAATCTGAAACTCTGGGAATGATTGGAGGGTCTCTGAATGATAGTCCTACCAGCCAGCTGTTTAAAACAGGCAGAAGTGCCTTCCTAACTATTTTCTCTTAATTGCAATGTTCTGTGGTCAAACTCTACTTTTGTTTACTGTGTCCAAGATGTGAATGCTAAATGCTAGCAAGTGACTGGGTAGGGAAAGCATGATTCCAACCAGATGATTTGATGTTAGGTAGGTAAGCCAACAGTGCCTTGAAGTCCTGGTGGTTGTCTGTGATTAAGTACAGATTTTCTTGATCTGATGCTGCCCTCACACTGTTTGTGTTGACCCCTCCTTCCCCCCTCCCCCCACTTTGAAGATCAGGATAAGGCAGTTTTCCCTTTCATTATGATACTCAAATACTTCAGGAGATTTACTTAAGTCTTCTTACCTTTTGAAATTCTTATATTAGCATGTTTCTTTGTAGCTTCCTCTCTATTTACTTTCATTCTTGTAATGTTCGTTGTCTTGACTATTCTTTATGCAAGTCACTTAATCTCTGACTCCCTTGGTTTCATCAACTGTAAAACAGGGCAGCTAGATAGAGTGCTGGGCCTGAAGTCAGGAAGACTCATCTTCCTGAGTTCAAATCCAGCCTCAGACAGTCACTAACTGTGTGACCCTGGGCAAGTCCCTTAATCCTGCTTGCTTCAGTTTCCTCATCTCTAAAATGATCTGGAGAAGGGAATGGCAAACCACTCCAGCATCTTTGCCAAGAAAACCCCAAACGTGGCCATGAAGAGTTGGACATGACTGAACAACAAAATAGGGAGAGCAATAGCACTTCCCAGCATCAGTTGTTGTGAGGATCAATTGAAATTATCAATTTGTAAAGCAGGTAGCATAGTGCCTGGCACAAAGTAGCCACCTAATAAATGCTTTTTCCTTTCTCTTCTTCTGAAAAAGTAAATGATTTGCCTAGGGTTATACAGCTAATAAGTGCCTTTGAGCAGGATTTTAACTCAGGTCATCTTAGCTCTGTCCATTACAACACCCAGCTAGAAACACAGAGGTAACAATGTAACCTCAAATTTGCTCCTGTTCTAGCTAACATGCCTTCAGTTGCTGGAGCTTCAATATGAAAACTAACAAGTCACATATCTCAAAAGCTGCAGGATGCTAAAAAAAAAAGTGATAGCACATTTTCAAGCTTCAGAAGGAAAAGTGAGCACACTGACTTGGCCTTGTAGATTCACAATGGAGAAAAAATGTTGCCCATTTATCTCTGAATGTTTCACTGTGGGAGAATCCTAAGGCCACAGGAATGCTAATTGATAAAGACTCAAGGAAGCACAGACAAAATTTCTGTTCTTGTTCCAAGTATAATCATAAGGATAGGCCTTTGCAACCAAACCTAAAGCTTAGCCTAACCAATTATTGGAAGGCAGCACAGTACAAAGAAAAGAATCCTGGAGTTGGAGTTACAGGTAAAGGGCTCAAATCTCTCATCAAATACTATCAGTCAATAAACTTTTATTAAATACCTGCTATATGCCAGGCATTGTGCTAAGTGCTGAGGATACAAAAAAAAAAAGGCCAAAGACAGTCCCTTACAACTGAAAGGGGGAAACAACAGGCAAACAAATATATACAAAGCAAGCTATACACATGATAAATAAAAAAAATAGTTAATAAGGGCAAAGCACAGGAATTAAGAAGAGTTAGAGAAGGTTTCCTGTAGAAGGTGGTATTTTAGCTGGGACTTAAAGGAATATCAGTAGTTGGACCCCAGAGGAAGGAGAGCATTCCAGGCATGAATAATATTTGGACGAGTCACACCCCTTCTCTGCATCTCAATTTCCTCTACAATTTGACTATATAATCTCTAAGGCCCCTTTGAGCTCTAAATCTATCATCCCACCTACGATCCTGTTACAAGTCACAGTCTGAAGCTATGATGTCTGAAAATGATTTTCCAGTCCTTCCATTTTGGAGAGGTCCTTCTGAACACTTGCTCATTCATTTGCCATGGGCAAGGGGAGGAGGACATCTCATGCCACTATACAGGTTCAGTTCTGAAGGTACTGACCAG